CCCCAAAACCCCAAAACCCCAAAACCCCAAAACCCCTTTCCTCGAATAAAATATTGGAGCCCCATATTCAGATTATGTAGCCAAAGTAGTTATGAAGATTAAGTGAAAGTGAGTCTGAAAGATCTGATTCTTTGTGGCTCCAACTCAACCTTGCTTGGGTCTGACTCATAGCTCACAGGCTTGCTTGTATAGTCTTCTCCCTTCCAGTGTAGCTTGACTTCCTGCATCTCAGCCATTGAGTAGAGTCCGGTGTTAGAAACTTCGACAACTGACTCCACTCTAAGGCCCATGAACAAGCCCAGGTGAGCAGCCAGTGCTTCTACGTCGACGATGGCCGAGTCAGAAGCTGAGAACAAGTCGAGGATGTTCTCGAGTCTGAGGAAGAGAGTTCCATCATGCTCAGGCAAGAACACAGCTTTGATTTGGGGAGGCAGGTCTAGGACTTCGCTGAGCTGGGTTAGCTTGAGAGTATTGAGAGAGGGAGTAGACTTGGTACCGAAGAGGTAGGTGAGGGGCACATCTATGTTCTTTTGCATTATTCTAGAATTATCTTCAATAAAAAGATCTTCATCATTTTCGTATAATCTCATATAGTGATGAGTTTTTACTGGAATTCCAATGTTGTCTGGAGAGTTCTGAAGATATTCATTAAGCTCTTCGTTTACTCCTCTTGAATCATCTGCAAAGATTCTTCTGTGAAGCATAATTTCAATTTCTCCATTCTCTAAACTACTTCCTCCTTGAGATCTATCATTAAGAACTTCAAAGGTCATCCTTTCATCTTTTATTGTGATACCATGATTAATTGGATAATAGTTTGAGGATACTCTCTGATGAGTTTGAAGATTCCAAGTAGGTCTATAATCCAGTTTTCTCTCTTGCATCTCAAGACCCATCGAGTCAGTATAAAAGACTCCATTGTTCTTAATATCATCTACTGCTAACTTTAGAATAACTTCTTTTCCTATCCAAGTGTTTGGGATGCCTTTGACATAAGATTCGATTTCAATAAAATCAGTGAAGTCATGTGTAAGAATTGTTGAATCGACTTCATCACCATAGAGTTTCAGCAATGAGACAACTTTTCCCTTATAAATGTCACTATCAGTGAAGGTATTATAAGAATGAGGCTTGTCATCTGCAAAAAGAGGTCTGAAAATATAGGCTCCAGAGATAGGCCCTCCAAATGGGAGTGAGAAAGAATTATAAAATTCGTATCCTAGCTTAACTTGGTGAGAATTCTTTCCTTCCCTAGTGATCACAAGAGTAGCGAAGTCATCTAAATTCTTCAAAGAAATTTCCATTTTGTTAGTAAACATAGTCAAGTCTTTTCTTTGTGGAATAAGTTTCAGATCTTCTGCTATTTTCTTCAATGTAAACTGTTTAGCTGAGAACATGTCAAAAGATACAGGTAAATAAGCAAAACAGCCTTGGTCTTGACCTGAACAGATAATATCTACATCTAACTCTTTTGAATCAGAGTCATAGATCTTGAGCTTTCCATTTGGAACTGGAATCTTTGCAATTGTTTTCCTGCTGTTGGAGGGATTGAAGATAGTCAGGACGATCTCATTAGTATCTTCTTGTAATAATCTCTTAGTTGGACAATCAGCAAAAGTTGAATTGTGAGCCCTACACATTCCGATATTCTCGACTCCTGTCTTCAGAACAGATTCGAAAGAATCTTGGAAAAGTGTTTTGACAGATTCATGATGGTTGTCTAAGTTCATGAAATAGTTATTAGCCACATGTTGAGTTTCAGTACCTGAAACAGCATCGTGATGCTGAAGAACTCCCATTTGGTTGAATAGTTCCTCAAATACAGTGAAGGTTTCTTTTCCATTCATTAAGTAATCCATTGCTAAGAAAATACTTTCTGAGTTCATATCTCTAGATACTTCTCTTACAAAGCCCTTCAAAGTCGGTCTGCTTGTGAAATAACCTGTCCAGTAAGCATCATCGAAATCAGAATATGGGAACAAGTCATCATATTTTGTAGGGAGCTCAATATCAATTTCATTAACTGCCTTAATGTATTCTTCAGGCGTACTATAAAACATTTCGATGTCGTCATATTTAGCATTGAACCCTTTGATTAGTTTATCAATGTTCATAAAATATCTCTTAGAGTTTTCAAAGTTAAAGTCATCACCGAATGGTACTAAAAGATGATTAGTCCTGTAGTGATCTGCCATATGCAGAAGATAGTCTCTCAATCCAGATACCTTCTCCTCAATATTATAGGTTTCAAGTCTTGGATCATCAACAATCGGGTCATCCCCGTTGCCATCATTAAAGTGAAATCCTTCTGGAGAACTATAGTGATGATACATCATGTGAGTGAAAATCTCGGCTCTAGCTCCTAAAGATTTGTTGAATGGTCTATGAAGCCACTCCATCTCTTTATTCTCTAGTCTCTTATCTTTATCCTGATGATCAATCCTTGCAAAGAACCAAGCGTTGAATCCCATTTCTGCAAATAAGCCAGCTGTCGCTGAATGATGTCCAAATGGATCTAAATGCCATCCAATGGTAGGTCTATATCCCAACTCTCTTTTCAAAAAGTCGTGGCCTGCCTTAAGATTGTTCAGAAAATCTTCATAATGAACAGTAGCTTCATCACTCATGGACATACCTGCATTAGCAAATGCGAGTCTTCCTTCATCTACCAAAACCTGCACATTAGCTTTAACTTCATCTGTTTGCTCGTTCCACCACTTCTGGAAGTAGGCCATCTCGACATAGGTGAACTTTTTGGCAGGATCCTTCATAAGCTCAGAGTATAATGTGTCTAAAATATATCTGATTCCTGCCTTTTGAACCCATTGTTTTGTTCCGGCATAATACTCATCAGGAGTTTTCTTCCATCCAACATCGTCATGGGTATGGGCGATCACATGAATCATCAATTTGTCTGATCCGTCTGAGGAGTACTTTCCATAAGCTCTATAATTGTTAGATTGGGGTAAGGTCTGGCTTCATAATTTTATAAAAAAATTTAGATAAGCTCAAAGTTGGATAATAAGAACCTGGCAAAGATTTCCATAAAATAGTTTAGGACTAATGATTAAAATTTGAATCCTTCCAAAATTAGTTCCTCAACTCCTTGGCATTGAGTAAAGATATTAAATTTAAAGAAAATTTAGAGCTATTCTGCATCGCGTATTAAATCCCAGAAATACGAAGAAAGTTATCGATGGCTTGATAATAATTATATTATTGATGATCAAAATCTTATGATGGAAATGTATTCGAATCTATCATTTTTGGCTGAAAACATTATTTTTATATCAAAAGCATTGACGCGAAGTTTTATATTATACCTTTTCTCATGTCCATGCTCAAGATCTGTGTCCCAAGTGACTCCAGCAAGACTGAGAGCAAGAATGGAACACAATAAGAATCCGATGATAATCTTCATTTATTCCTAAATATTATAACTTCATATTTTAACTATCTCAGGGGTTTTGGGGTTTTGGGGTTTTGGGG